ACCCCTGCAAACTGATCCCAATGCACACAAACCCCTGCAAACTGATCTCAGTGCAGACAAAACCCCTGCAAACTGATCCCAGTGCAGACAAACCCCTTCAAACCGATCCCAATGCAAACGCAACACGCTGCATGGGGATCTGCTGGCAGCTAATAGAGCTGCACGTGGATACAAAATCAAATTGCTGCTGGAAAGGCGGCGGCAGGAGCAGCTCTGCTCCAAGGTCTGCAGAGCGGCGGCACCTGCAGAGTCCCAAAGGTGCTGGGGAAGACGCACAGGCGGCTCCTGAATTCCGAATTCCTGCACATGCCCATTCCCAAACCCAATTCCTGCAAATCCAACCAGACGCATCTCCTGAGCATGGGAGCTGCTGCTCCAGCGAGCCGGGGCAGCTCCTGGACATGGAGCCGTTCCGGACAGAGGCTGGGAAGCATCAAGATAGTCCCCATCGACGGGAGCAGAAACTTTGGAGGCTTCTCTTGATAATTCACCAACTGCCCCTTGGGGTTAGGTGGCCCAAATACCCCCCAGCAGGGAAGCTCCTGCCAGCACCATCTAGAGCCCAAAGCCACCAGCCCACAGCCAAAGGGAAGTGTCACTTGTCCCTTGGATCTCAGCAGCTTGGAGGATTAACAAGCAGCCTTGGAGGACGTCGTCTTGGCCCCTCACTAATCACTCCATGGTCTCACATAACCGCAGGGTCCTGGGACCTCTTGTGTCACCGGCAGCTACACGGGTCCCAAATAATGTCATTAAAGGCCAGTCGGCACCATGTTATTGCACTCACAAAACTTCAGCAACTTGTATCGTTGTGGGCAGCGAAGGTCTAATGAAGAAACCACGCAGGTCACCACTAAAGCAGTCGTCACCCTGAGGAATCACTCTGCGTTTAAAGGAGAGGACGGTAAATGTAATTTCTAATAAAACCCTAAGGGTTATTTCCAGCAGGCAGCGAGCCTTCGATTCCATTCCTAAAGGGCTGCTTGGAGTCCTGGAAGATGCTCAGAACCCAAGGGGACATGGACAACCTGCCCCAGCTGACCCGGCCTGAGTAGTGGGGCTGGACCAGGTGATGTGCAGAGGTCCCTTCCGACCACAAATGCTCTGAGATTCTGGAAGAATATTTGAAAAATCCTATGGAACCCATGTGTCAATGTTGGCTGGTGCGTTAGGATTCGAGGTCTGCTTTGAGCTTGTGCAGGTCCTTCCTTAGACGGGGGGCAGCTGCCCTGGGGACGCTCCCCTGCTCAGCCCCATCTTACACGAGCCCAGGCTCGAGGGCAGTTGTCCTGGGACCTTCTCCTGCCAACCTCTGAAAACCTGAATTTTGACCAAATTACAGCAGTGCAAGGGGCTTCTTTGGAAGGAGGAGCAGGAAAAACACCAGGAAAAACAGGCACTTTCCCACAAAAATTCAGTACCAACGCAAAACTCATTTCTCATCCAAAAAAGCTTCAATAAAATTCACTAGCCCAACACACATGTGTTGGACATGCTGAAATAACAGCACGTGGAGCAGGATCTGAACATTTCCAATACTCACACAGGCTGCAAAGTGTGGCTGCTGGGAAGCTCCGTAGGGTTTACGGCATTTTAAAACATCACAAATGTGACTGAGTCCTCTAAGCCCTTCCGAGCACTTTCAACAGGCAGTTGCATTAAGATCCATGGGATAATCCACCCACGCAGACGGTTACAGGGTCACAGAGAACTGTGCCGGGACAGACTGTAAGGACTCATTGAATCCATCTCTACTGCCCCACAGCAGGAGCAGATCTATTTAATTAATCCCAAGTGAGGATTGCAGGAACCAATCCCTCCAGGTTCACGAGACATCTTACCAGAGCAAAATTTGGCAATGCTGCACAGTATATATTGAAAATAAATAAATAAATAAAAGGTAACATTAAAGAGTGGCTTTTGAAGCACTGTTTGATAGAAAAGAGGGTTTTTTTTTTTTGGCTCTTTGAAGGTGAATTTCCGGAGCTGTCGTAGGCCGGGCAGCCTCGTTCGGATGCAGCAAACCTGCAGCATGACATCCCAAGGACGCCTAAAGCCAGACCCTGTTCTCTGCTAACAAAGATGCCTTGAGAGTAGGGAACAGTAAGGTCAAGATCCCAAAAGCTCTCCTTATTCCTGCATTTATTTATTGATTTTTAGGATGAGGAGAAGAACTAAGAGCTTCCTGAGCTTCATTACCAATTTAAGGCTCTTAAAAGCTGGGACAAAGGGAAGGTTTTAGAGAAAGTGGACGCAGAAATATCCTCTCCCACCTGCCCTAAGGCTTTTTTTAGAGCGATGATCCTTGACTTCACATTTTGGATATTGGGAAAGGTCCGAAATGCTGATGCACATCCCCGGATGTCACCCTGCCACACCTTTATTTCCGCAGGGATCTGTCACTTCCTGGTGGATGCTCCCGGAAGCTGCTTGGGAATTTCCACGGCACTTGACGGCAGCGCGGCGACTGTTTGCTTGGAAAGCACAGAGCAGACAGCAACATTTCCAGGAGGAGCAGGCAGAGCAGAAACACCCAGGGCAGAGCTGCTGCTTCCCGGGAATTATCCTCCGTATTCCCAGCCACCTTATCAAAAAGCCACAGTGCCCACGTCTTAAACTTCCCTTTAATTACACTTAACGAGCCAGCCACAGGTGCAGCACCACGACATACACAAACACCCTCTTACCCTGTGCTCAACCCTCCTTAAGAATAAACAGCAATAACAAGACATTGGAAGCCTCTCGGAAACAGAAACGCCGAGTCCTTCCCGGCATATCTGCCTTCCTCTAACTGCAAAACTAGAGGATTCCAGCGCTTAGGACCAGCGACGGGCTGGGATGAAGCCCTCGAAGGGAATCTCGGCACTACCTTAGGGAGCTCTTTTGGTGTCACCCCGAGCGAGGCCGAGCGCAGAGCTGCACTCACCGCTCCCAGCATGATCCTGAAGAGGAGCCAGCGGAAGCCCCAGATGACGATGCGGGAAGGCGGAGTGGAGCTGGGCAGGCGGGACAGGGTCCACAGCGGGCACAGGAATATCCCCAGGAAGCCCGTTTCCAGCAGCTGGGACTCCCATCCTGCAGGGCCAACATGCGAGAGAGAAGAAACGCAGAGAGTTATTACAGAAATCTTAGACACTGCCCTTTCAAAATATTTAAACATACAAGAAACAACATTTTTCTTTTACTGGACTTAAGGCAACTCAGCTAGCAGCAATACATGTATCATACCGAGCTATGCAAAATTAAGACAATTTTTGAGATAGCGTCAACTTCACATCACTGTACATTTGTAAATGCATTTCCAACTACTCTTTAGTATCTCTAACAACATTATTTAAGCTTTTCCATTGATGATAGAAGTACAGTTAGTGAATTTGACTGCACCGTTTTTCTCTGAGCGTGATCTGTCACCTTTCCTTGTTGTCTACACAGCTCTTTTATGCAGCATGAAGCAAGAGAAAAATGTGTACTTCCATGAATCAAGGAAAACCCACAACTTTCAGCGCCCTGGGAGCTGGCAAGATATCCCAGGAACACAACTAACTCGTGCCACTGCGGATTGCTTTAGATTATGGATTGGGCGAGCCGCTGAGAACAGAAATTCCCAAAGAAACTTGAGGAGGGAAGGATGTGAGAAATCCTCACTGGAAACCTGCTTTTGCATGGCTCAGAGCGCGCAGGGCCGGCAGCCTTTGGCAAGGGCACGCGTGGGGTTTTCGGCATGAAGCCCCGTCCTTGCTGACTTGCGCTTTGCCGGAGTCGAACCGGAGGGAAAAGGTCCCGTCATCGAGAGAGGATTAAAATCACATCGAGTCTCACTCGGCATCAGCTTTAACGCTCAAGCAGCAGCTCTGAATCTTCAATCGCAAAGGAAGACCATAATGAAGAGAGGCCCGGCCCGTCCATCAGGCTGGCTCTGCCGTCCTGCTCCAGATGTGGCACAGACGGAGGCCAAAGCTCCAGGCGGTGACCACACGAGGAGCCCCAAAGGGCCCTTTGCATTTTGCTTCTCCCGCAGGACACGCGGAGCAAACGTCGGAACGATCCTTCAGAGCGAGGCCGAGCCCAGGCGAGCCGCCGGCCTCGCTAGGGAACGAGGCTGCACGAGGGCCCCAACGCGGCCGCTCCGGCCCTGCTTCGGGCAGGGAGAACCCCTGGGGCTGGGAGCTCCTGCCAGCTCCATCGCACAGCAGGGCTCCACGGTCCAAACCGGAGCCTGGCCTTGTCACACAAGCAGCCCCGCACCAAGGTCACCTCATAGAATCACAGAATGCTGAAGGTTGGCAGGGACATCTAGAGATCATCTAGTCCAACTCCCTGCACATGCAGGGTCACCTAGAGCACGTGGCACAGGGCTGCGTCCAAGCGGGTTTGAAGATCTCCAGAGAAGGAGACTCCACAACCTCTCTGGACAGCCTGTTCCAGTGCTCTGGCACCCTCACTGGTAAGAAATTGTTCCTTAAGCAAGCAGCAAGGAAAGTAGTAAGGGAAACTCCCCTTTTTCTTAGCACAATTCAGTTCCTAAAATCTAAACGCAACGACTTTTAAATAGAGCCCACTTGCAGTCGCTATTAAAAATGAATTCCCGCTCTATCCCGCGGCTCCCAGAGCCGCTAACTGCCAGGCCCGGCGCCTCGGGAGGGGAAGGGGCGCCCGTTGTGCGGCGGCAGCTGCGGCGGGGGAGCGCGGCCAAGGCGCCGCCTCAAAGGTTAATTGTTGTGCGTGGCGGTTATGGGGCGAACTGGCACCGAACCGCGGGGCATCTCGCGCGCCGCCGCCGCCGCCACAAGAATCCCACTGTTACCGGCGTTTTCATATGGGAATCTTTTTTCTGCCGCCGCTCGCCAGGGCCCCGCGCGCAGCTCGTCCTCATCGAAGGCAGCTCCTGCTGCGGGGAACGAGCCTGCGATGCAGAGAGACACCCGGAGCCCCTGATTAACATATAATTAAAATTAATTGATAATTAATAAAGCGGCTGGCACTGCGTCACACGGAGCCGTTTCTGCGCCGCATCCACGGCCCGGCCAGCACCTCTGCTCCTGGCCCAGCAGCAAAACTTCCCCTTCCCGCCTGCACTCGGGCTCTTACCCCCCATTTTCACCTGGGGAAGTTTGCAGCCTCCCCGGGTTGATTCCCGCTCAGTTTTCCTCTCCTGTCTTTGCACTTCGCTTCTCCCAGAGCCGGGAGCTGCCCTCCCATGTCCGCAGCCCCGGGGCTTCCCGGCTCCTGTTCCACTTGCACCTTCTCCCCCACGCTCCGTCATCAACTTCTGCTTCCAATTTTGCCTTGGTCTCCGCCTTAAGCTCAGAGAAAGGAAAGAGCCGGCCCAAGTGGGAACCGTTTTGGACAGGGACTCACCCCTACCTATAACTTACCTTTCCTAGGCAGAACCACGTGCAAACGAGGCCCGTGTGGATGCTGCTGCCCCTGCCACAGAAGCACTGGATGCAACAGGGTTAGGGGGATGCTCAGTGCAGCCATGGGGACAGGGCTATAGGGATGCTCCGCGCAGCTGTGGAGAAGGAGTTAGGGGGATGCTCAGGAGGGCACCTTTTCTCCCAAAACCTACAGCGAAGCAGCAGGGACAGCAGGGTGACACAGCCTGGCACAGGCTGGAATCTCCTTCTCTGGAGATCTCCCAAACCCACCTGGATGCCACCCTGTGCCCTGTGCTCTGGGTGGTGCAGGGGGTTAAACCAGGTGGTCTCCAGAGGTCCCTTCCAACCTCGACCCTTGTGTGATCCAGAGCAGGGCGAGGGGGCCGCGCGGCTCCACTGCCGCTTCCCATCCCTGTAAACCGATCTCAGGAAGCAAGAGGAGAGGATCCACGGCGGGATTCCAGCCGTTCCCGTGCGCCCCTCCAAGGCCTCCTCGCCACGGCCAA